AAAGCAACAGTAACACACACCCATGGAAAGTGAGAATGTGGAAGAGCCCAGGGATGGAACAATCTTGGTCTTCTGATAGGCGACTCCCACTTTATACAGTTTAAGTCTGGTGGGATGTTCCTCCATCTGTATACCTTCTAGCGCTCCTTGCCCAGTTGATTTATATTCTTTTTAGTTTGTAGCTCTTCTCCAAGTCAAGTTACAGAGGGCTTTTCTAGGTTCCAAGCATGGTCTGGAAACTGAAGGGGAACAGACCCTGCCTGTATGCAGTTGTTGTTGTTGTTCAGTCGCACAGTCGAGTCCGACTCTTCGCGGACCCCATGGACCAGATCACGCCAGGCCTTCCGGTCTTCCACCGTCCTCTGAAGTTGGCTCAACTTCATGTTCGTTGCATCTATGACACTGTCTAACCATCTCATCCTTTGCCGTCCCCGTCTTCTTTGACCTTCAATCTTTCCCAGCATCAGGGTCTACTTTAAATTTAGAAATGTCTAAATAAAATTGGGAGGAATCTTGGTCTTCTGATAGGCGACTCCCATTTTATACAGTTTAAGTCTGGTGGGATGTCCCTCCATCTGTATACCTTCTAGCACTCCTTGCCCAGTTGATTTATATTCTTTGTAGTTTGTAGCTCTTTTGTGGAAATGCTTTGATCTAGCAATGTATTCACAAGATTTATGGCCCTATGTGTGAAGCACACAGGAAGCGCTCTCCTGAAGCCGCTAGGTAGATAGGAAAGATGTAGGTGTTAGTATGTAGTGCTGAAAGTAACTGTAAGCATGTAACCTTGTGTTTTATTTCTTTTTATCCAAAGTACCCTACCCATGCTTTATTTTGTTTTGTAGTAAAGATATTTTTCTTTTAACTAATGTGACTCTTGTGTTTGCAAAACGACCATCTATCTCGAATCTCAGAATCCCAACAGAGTCTTCTCCAGTGAGTGCTCCCTTCTCATTGGGTGGCCAAAGTATTTGAGTTTCAGTTTTATTATCTGGCCTTCCAGGGAACAGTCAGGGTTGATTTCTCAAAGTCTAAGCCTACCCTACCCCAGAACCACTGGAGGAAGTGCGTGAACACCTGAATGGACACAAAAGCCTTTGCTCTTCAGTCGTAATGTCCATCCCATTAATAGGCATGACAGAAAGGCAATGCATAGACCCATATGTCTGGCTGAAGGCTGCATGTCTGTGTAGAGTGAACACACACAGACCATCAGCTGCCGGGAACAGATACCACCACCAGTCCGCTCACAAGCGGCATCAGAAATCCATACAGCTCCTGATAGCCACGTCAGCAATTTATATTTGTGGCGACATATGGATGAGTGTGGACATTTTGGCAAGTATATACAGACACCATCCAGGAGAGAGAGAAAATCAAGCCTTTACTACAGAGTCAGAAGGTAGCTGTGTTGGTCTGCAGTAGAAGAGCTGGATTTGAGTCAAGGATATACTGTTGCTGACATAAGAGCAGTGGTCGTCAAACAGAGAAGCTTCAAGGGGAGATTACAACGTGAGATTGCAGAACTTGTTGGGATTTTTGAACTCTAATTCCAGACTTGGGATCCCCACATCCCACCTGGAGTCTGGCATCCCTCACCCCCCCCCCACAAACTCTTTTGAGGCCAAAAAAAAAACATTGTTGGGATTTTTAAACTCTAAGTAAGTAAACTTCAGCCTACTCATGCAGGGCTTGCTCGATGCTTGGGGATCCAACAGCCGGCTTGGGAATTGGAGGGATGGAGTAGAGATGTCTGGGGCTTGCAGCAACGTGGGAATGGAGGCGGAGCTTGCTTGCTTTGTTTGGTGGAGTGATTAAGTGCGCGGACTCTAATCTGGGAGAACCGGGTTTGATTCCCCACTCCTCCACTCGCACCTGCTGGATGACCTTGGGCAAGCCATAGTTCTGGCACAGCTGTTCTTGAAAAAGAGCAGTTTCTAGTGCTCGCTTCAGCAGCACATATACTAAGAGCAGTTTCTGTCAAGAGCTCTCTCAGCCCCACTGACCTCACAGGGTGTCTGTTGTGGGGAGGGAAAGGGAAAGGAGTTTGTAAGCCGCTCTGAGACTCCCTTGGGTAGTAAAGGGAGAGGTATAAATTCAATCTCTTCTTCTTCTTCGCCTGCCGGAAAGAGGCAAGGGAGAGGCAGGCAAGATTATCAGCATAGGACTGGAGGTGGGGCTTGCTTTGCCCACCGAGGACTCCATAAAGATACAGAGAGCTGCCATGGGGGAAGGGCAGTGTGAGGCTTGCCGTGGCCCCTGGCAGTGGGGGCGAGTGTGGGAAATAAGTCAGGGGGCCTGGCCAGGGTGGTAAATTGGGGGGGGCTAGTGGGAAGGTAGGGGGCTGGGCCCCGAAATGCCCCACTGTAGCTACAGGCCTGCTCAGGGATCTCCATTCCTAATTGTATCTGATGAAGGAATCAGTGAAAACTGTGCCTGAGCTATACATCTTTGGACTGCAGGTAGACTCAGTCACGCAGTTGAATGATCCCCTGTACAAAACCTTTCTGAGAACTCAATAATTGTCTGTGGACACTAATATTCAGGATGGAACTCTTGTGTCTGAGATGTCTGTCTGCTTATATCTGCCTCATTTGGAGATTTCAGAGAAAAGTTAGCAATATTAATTGCCTTTGGCACTAATACACACAAATCCCTTTAAAAGTCTCTTAACTCTGTCCTACCGACTTTTCCGCTGGTGAGAGACAGAAAGAGGAGGAAACCCCTTTGACTACCAGGGATTATAGGATTTAGGTGGACCAAAGCCACGTGGGACTGGGGCTGCGAAGAGGAAGGCGACTGGGCAAGATTGAGTGAGAAAGCTGATTGGAAACTAAGGGCGAATCTGCATTTGCATTTTTAAGTCATTTTCCTGCTGCTGTGACGAGGTCTTTCTCTATGCTTGTTTGAATGTTGTTTGGAGAAGATTCTTTTAAAGCAGTGTGGAGGTGCAGTGACAGTGGAGCTGCCCCAAAGGATGATAAACATATGTGGACGTGCAAAAGTATGCTAGCACTCTTGAGGTGTGAAAATGACACCAAATGTAGACAGCTTTTTTGAAGACGGAGTCAAAAGGCTGGGACACTGGTGGGAAAGACAAATGCAGATTCCGCCTAACTCTTGGAACACAGTCCTTATTGCTTCAGTGTTCACCCCGAGGAAAGGGCTCAAGTTCCTTGCTATGAGTCAGGAAGGCCCCTTTCTCGAAAGCCATCTGCAACAATAAACATTCTGAGGTTGTTGCTGTTTTCCACTTTGGCTTATTCATTTGTAGGCAAACAGATGACCCATCCCTTTTCTTGCTTGGATTTTTGCTTAGCACTGTTTGTTTTCCTTGATTGCAGCCCACTGCCTCCGGGACTTTACAGAACGGAAAGGCGGGATATAAGCTTTGTGTTAAATAAATCCGCACATATATCCAATGGGCGTTTGGGGACGAATCCCGAGCCCAGCGAGATCAAGCTGAGCTTCCTTCGCTGGGACCTGCTGAGTCATCCGCTGGTTTCCACACATCTGTAAAGTGCTGTTCATCACATCCTTTGCTTGGCCCACGTGGGGGGATATTTTCCAGGATGTGGGAAGCTGTGGTTTGACAGAGTGTTGAAACAGGGGTATTATCTGGCCAACGTGCACCCAACATGAACTCTGCAGGAGTACACATAGGTGGTTTGGGATTAGTGGTCGTTGAAATGACTCTTCAAAGACTCCAGGAAAAATTTACAGTGTTGAAAGAGAAATGTTGAATTTGCACTCTCGGAAGCTAAACCTAAACTTCCCTTATGGGTAGATAAAGGTGGCGCTGAATTACATCTCCCTATCACTGGCTTGCCCTGACCTGGATACCCCAGGCTAGCCTGATCTCGTCAGATCTTGGAAGCTAAGCAGGGTCACCCTGGTCCGTATTTGGATGGGAGACCACCACGGAAGTCCGGGGTCATGACATGGCAAACCACCTCTGCTCAAACCTGCCCTGGCCTGGGTAGCTCAGGCTAACCCTATCTTGTCAGATCTCAGAAAATAAGAACATAAGAACATCAGAGACGCCAATGTTGGATCAGGCCAAAGGCCCATCCAGTCCAACACTCTGTATCACACAGTGGCCAGAAATACTAGGTGCCATCAGGAGATCCACCTGTGGGGCCAGGACACTAGAAGCCCTCCCACTGTTGACCCCCCCCCAGCACCAAGAAGACAGAGCATCACTTGCCCCAGAGTCCCTATCTATACCTTGTGGCCAATAGCCACTGATGGACCTCTGCTCCATATGCTTATCTAATTCCCTCTTGAAGCCGTCCATGCTTGTAGCCGCCACCACCTCCTGTGGCAGTGAATTCCATGTGTTAATCACTCTTTGGGTGAAGAAGTACTTCCTTTTATCCGTTCTAACCCGACCGCTCAGCAATTTCATGGAGTGCCCACGAGTTCTTGTATTGTGAGAAAGGGAGAAAAGTACCTCTTTCTCTAAGGAGAGTCAGATGGGAGACTACCAAGGAAGTCAAAGAATCATAGAGCTGGAAGGTACCTCCAGGGTCATCTAGTGCAGCACAATGCAGGAAATTCACAAATACCGCTCCCTCCACACCCGCAGTGACCCCTGCTCCACGCCCAGAAGATGACAAGAAAACCTCCAGGATCCCCGGCCAAACCAGCCTGGAGGAAAATTGCTTCCTGACCCCAAAATGGCAATCAGCATTTCCCTGGGCGTGTAAGAAAGGGCCACAAGAGAACTAAGCACTGAGGCAACCCTCCCTGCCCTCCTCTCTCGTGATCTGCCCAAGTTCACAGAATCCGCATTGCTGTCAAGTGGCCATCTAGCCTCTGCTGGAAAACCTCCAGAGAAGGGGAGCCCACCCCCCACCCCCGAGGAAGCCTGTTCCACGGAGGAACCGGGCCGAAAACTCTTCTGATTTAATTTCAACTGCTATGTGGAGCCAGGCACCTCTGAACATCTCTTGCCTTGCAAATCCCGGAAGGGGTTGCCAGAAGTTGGCTGGAACTTGACGGCACTTTCCACCACCATTACTGGCTTGGACCCTCTGGAGCATTTCCATGGATAGACGGAGCTCCACCTGCAGAGTGGGATTTCTCACCTCCTGATGCAGCCCCAAATGCCCCCAATGGTGTTCCGGGGGGGGACTTAGCCCCCCAAGAGCAGCATTTCATGGGACGTCTTGAGCTGCAGCAGGAGAGGGAAGGCGAGAAAGTAACACTTATTGGGTGGACGTCCTTCCGTCAACAGAAACGTTCCGGTGGATCGAAGCCACTGAGTGGGAGGCAAGCCAACAGCCTTCAAGCAGCTCACTGCGTGGTCTCCCCTTCACTCCACAGCATAAACATACCTCCCACGTCCTAGAGAGGCGGCTGACACTGGAGTGGCCCAAGCCAAACATCACTGAGAAGAAGGAGTTCAGGTTCTTCTGGTCCTTCAGGCTGAAACAAAAGTCATGGGTGACACTCAGCCCAAGTAGGAGCGGAGATCCAAGCTGGGTTTGCACACCAGACTTCCACAGTCAAGTTAAAGGCAGGCTTAGATCCTTTAGCAGCTGGAACCACCCTCTCTCCCAGGAGGACAGGCCAACCGGATCACCCCCTGGTAGGGTTGCCAGGTACTCTCGGCTTGCCAGCAGGGGGATTTGGGGGTTGTTCCGGGGTGGGCAGAGACCTGACACAATGTCCCCATCCCCAGTATAATGATGTCATGCAGAAGCAACGTCATCACGTTGGGGACGTCGCGCGGCGATGCTCTGCATTTTGGGCAAAACTCTATGTGGCATTTTTGGCCTAAAACCATAGGTAAAGTAAAGGTAAAGGTTTCCCTTGCTCGAAAGCCGGTCGAATCCGACTCGAGGGTTGCGGTGCTCATCTCCGTTTCAAAGCCGAAGAGCCAGCGCTGTCCGAAGACGTTTCCGTGGTCATGTGACCAGCATGACTAAACACCAAGGCGCACGGAACGCTGTTACCTTCCCACCAAAGTGGTCCCTATTTATCTACTTGCAATTTCTTGCTTTCGAACTGCTAGGTTGGCCGGAGCTGGAACTAGAGACGGGAGCTCACTCCGTCATGCGGCACACTTGGGTCTCGAACTGCTGACCTACCGACCTTCCACAGCCTGCAGTTCAGCGTCTCAACCACTTGAGCCACCGCAGCTCCTAAAACCATAGAGTTTTGCCAAAACTCAGTCTGTTGCCAGCTGGCCGGCGGTGGGCAGAAGCCTGGAAATTCAGGGGGACCCCCGCCTGGATGGGGGCCTGGCAACCCTACCGCGGGCGCTTTCCTATCTCCTAGGGTTGCCAACACCCAGGTGGGGCCTGGAGATCTCCTGGAATGACAGCTGATCTCCAGACAACAGAGATCAGCCCTCCTGGAGAAAACGGCTGCTTTGGAGGGTGGACTCTGTATGGCCTTATTTATTACAAATAAATAATAAATATTGTACCCTGCTCCTCAGGCTCCACCCCCAACTGGCAGCCAGCAAGCCTCCTACTCCCCCCCCCAAATCTCCAGGAATTCCCCCCCGCCTGGAGGAGGCCACCCTGCTCCCCGAGGAGGCTTACTGTGCAGCCAGCTTGATGAATTTGCGGAGCAGCTGGGCCCTCTTCATGACGTCTGGGCAAAGGCAGAGCTCCGTGGTGACCCAAAACTGCAGTTCGTTGAAGCGACGCAGGAAGCGCTCCAGGTTGGCCGTGGTTGCGCTGGGGAACTTCTGTGGCCCAAAAATGCTGTAGATCAGCTCCACCTTGAAAAGAGCAACGACGACACGACAGCCAGGAGTGTCTCGGCTAAACTTCCCTTTTAAAACCACAAGGTCTCCACTCAGCTCCACCTTAAAACCTGCAAGCCTAGCAGCTTGACATCTCCCACCTGCTTCCCTTCACACTCAAGGCAAGAGGCAGAAATGTCTGCTCGGTGCCAGGCCCACCTGGGTAGATGCCCAGTCGCGTTGCCACGGCTCCCAGCGGTGAGTGCCTTCTTACCTGATGGATGCTCTTGAAGAGGTTCCAGTCGTGCTCGGTGATCTGACTGGAGAGATCCTTGGAACTGATGAAATCTAGGCTGTCCCAAGAGCCCACAGTGGGGCCTAGCTGCTCAGGGTGAGGGGCCTGTATGAATGAGAATGGTGATAATCAGGGCTTTTTTTGTAGAAAAAGCCCAGCAGGAACTCATTAGCATAATAGGCCACACCCAAGAGCAGAAACACGTTAGCATATTAGGCCACACCCTGACAGCGCAGCTCATTAGCATATTAGGCCGCATCCCCATGTTATCAGAAGTGTGGTCATCCAGCCACACGCACCTTTTGCTTCTTATTCTATTTACCTTGTTTGTTGTCAAAACCCAGAGCTTTTTTTGTAGCAGGAACTTCTTTGCATGTTAGGCCACACACCCCTAATGTAGCCAATCCTAATGGATTTCTGCTGTTGGGTGTGGCCTATTATGCTAATGAGTTCCTGCTGGGCGTGGCCAACTCAGGAGCCAGCTGGAACTCCGTGTTCCTGTGCGTTCCTGCCCAAAAATAGCCCTGGTGATAATGCTTCTACGGACAGACATCACTGTTACTAGTGTAAGGACCATGGCTCAGTGGCAGAGCCCCTGCTTTGCATGCAGAAGGTCCCAGGTTCAATCCCCGGCATCTCCAGGTAAAAGGACTAGGTAGGAAGTGATGTGAAAGACCTCTACTGGACATTCCTGGCTAGCTGCTGCCAGTCGGGGTCAAGCTACATGATACTGTTTCTAACAAGGTTCCCTGAACCTGTGCCAATGTGCACCTGCGGGGAATTGCACCTTTTGTTTGGTGTCGTGGTTAAGTGCCCGGACTCTAATCTGGGAGAACCGGGTTTGATTCCCCACTCCTCCACTTGCACCTGGCTGGATGACCTTGGGCAAGCCGTAGTTCTGACTAGAACTGTCCTTGAAAAAGAGTAGTTTCTGTCAAGAGCTGTCTCAGCCCCACCTACCTCACAGGGTGTCTGTTGCAGGGAGGGGAAGGGAAAGGAGTTTGTAAGCTGCTCTGAGACACCTTTGGGTGGTGAAGGGCGGGTATAAATCCAATCTTCTTCTTCTTCTTCTTCTTCCTCTTCCTCTTCTTCTTCTTCTTCTTCGCAGAGTGACCCCAGTGTAAAACCACTGAAATCTACTGGTCTAGACAGGAGCAATTCTGCATAGGATCGCACTCTCTGTGGAATATTTCCACAAGGGCACAGCTCCAGGTATGTCCCATATCCCCCTGTCTGTCTTTTTGCCCTCTCTGCCCACTGGGTCACATAGATGTTTTCCGCAATGAGATCTGCATCAGGTACATTGCTTAGAGACTGGGATGGTGAAACGAGGGAGGGAATTAACAAGAGAGGACTCCCTGGTGGAGTAGATTTGCCCTGCACAGATTACAAATGAGATGCACTCACCAAGGTGTGAAGTTCCTGAAGGCTAACCGCAAAGAGCCTCTCGTTCAACCCCAGGGACGTAAACACACCAATGGACTCCATGGGCAAAACCTCTTTATCTGCCAGAGACAGAAATGGGTAAGAGACATTGACGATGCCCACAACTGCCATAAGGTGGCAGTATTGCTCTCTTTGGTTCTCGCCAAGTCTAGGGTGCTTTTTGTCTCCTCCACTTCCCAAACAATGACCATGTGACTCATGAACAAAGACAAACTTAACCCTGTTGGCACAGTAGTGCCAGTTCAAATGCAATCCTTGGTTTATACCGCATTCCATATACATGACGTTGTGTTTTTGTCTGTTTACTTTGGGGCAAAAGCTGTGAAAAACCTGGAAGACTGCAACAAAAGCTTACTTATACTCTGCTTTTCTCCCCAAGGGGCCCCAAAATGGCTTACATTGTTCTCCTCTCCTCCGTTTTATGCTTATCGAATCCCCACCCTGCCATGGAAGCTTGCTGGGGGACCTTGGGCCAGTCACTCTCTCAGGCTAACTCACCTCACAGGACTGTTGTTGTGAGAGAAAATAAAGCCAATGCTGTGGTGGAAGCTGTCACTGAAACAACATTATTTTAAACTGCCCAGACAGCTGGATCTCCAGTGGCCAGTCAGAAGGCCTGTTGGGGTTGCCAGCTCTCTTCGAGATGCTGGTGGAGGGAGGCTCCGGGAGCCGAAAGCGTCGCCCCAATGTGCCAACCTCACTGGAAGTGATGGTACACATCACCCAGAAGTAGGGTTGCCAAGATTTTCGCTGGGAGCGGGGGGCTCCCGGCTGGCCTCAGTTGCGCGCTCCGCATGCATGTCACCTGGAAGTGACGTCACGACGCCAGGCACGCTGGGGGCGAGGCCACAGCCCTACATCACTTCTGGGTGACATCAGCACGTCACCTGATGTTGCTCTCGGGGGGGTGGGATTTCCTCCCGCTGGCCAGTGGCGGACAAGAGCCCGCAAAAGCAGGGAACCCTCTGCGACCAGCTGGGGAATGGTAACCCTAGGGCCTAGGCCCTAACCACTTTCTGAGAATACTTGGTGGCCACCAGGAAATGTGTTCTTGGGCACCATGGTGTCCATGGGAGCCACGTTGGGGACCCCTGATATAGACGGAACTGAAACGGGGGCACTTCCACTACTACAAAACTGACTTCATCCTAAGCCAGGGCTCCCAAGTACTTACCTTAATTCAGCAGGGGATGTATAGTTCTTCGCGGGACCATACCCGCAGGGAAAACACAGGCGCTGCACTATTCCGTCGCCCAGACTCGATGGTACCATCGGGTTTCCAGTCCCATTACCAGAGTGTCGCCCAGCTACGTGCCTACGTCACATCTGGTCGATGGAATAGTGCAGCGCCTGTGTTCCAAGCAAGAATCTTCCGGCGGGGAAGCATGTGTCCCCCGCCGGATCGTAGGTAGGTACTTGGGAACCCTATCCTAAGCGTGCTCGGGAAAAGGTTGTTGTAATCATGCAAACAGTAACGCGTTCCAGGTACACTTCTCAGATGGAAGGATTGGTTCCTACCATCCACACCAACATGCAGCATGAGTCTCACTCACCCCCTGCTGAATTGACCTTGACTAGGATCCATTCTTTGCTCCAGCCGGGATTGTCTGCCAGCGAGGCAAGGACTTCCTGCACAGGAGTGTTCACCGCCAGCACCGTAGGGAGGCAGGAATAGTCTGGCCGATATATGTCATAGGCAACTACAGGAACAGAAGAAGCAGGAAGACAAAGGAAGGACCATGAACAAAGGCCGCTGTAGCAAATGTATCCAGATAAGTCACAGATTTTTTTTCCCCCTCCTTGGATTTTGTAAAATAATTTTTAAAATAGTTATCCATCAATAAAATTAACGCATCAAAATTCACTAGACGGGGTCCGATTCAATGCTCCGTCTAAGCTGTGGAGTTTTGTGAACAACAATTCTACTTTGTGAGCGACTGGCATTAAAGTGGTGAGCGAGCGATTTGGCTCCTGCATAAATGAGTTTGCTCTGGAGCCCTCCTTCCTGAGCAAAGACAAACAAATGTGTGAGCTGGAGGCTAAAAAACTGAGCTAGCTCACACGAACTCAGCTTAGAGGGAACACTGGTCTGGTTACCCCTATCTGAAGATGGGAAGGCAGAGAGGATGAGGATTTCAAGGCTGCAATTTGTTTACCGTTTTTCACGGAAAGCACAAGTGAGATAAATGTATGAAAACTCGGCAAAAGCGCAGGCTGGATCCTGCCATGGAACAGCGGAAGAGAAACACTGCTTAACGTAGTCCCATTTGCACAAGAACTATTGCTGAGGTTCCATTTCTTCTCTTTTATTCTCCCTCTCAAGTCACAGCTGACTTATGGCAACCTCGTAGCGTTTTCAAGGCAAGAGACATCCAGAGGTGGCTGGCCATTGCCTGCCTCTGTGTAGCAACTTGGGATCTCCTCGGAAGTCTCCCATCCAAATACTAACCAGGGCCGACCCCGCTTAGCTTCTGAGATCTGACAAGATCAGTCTAACCTGGGCTATCCAGGTGAGGTCAGTTGCTGTTTACATCAATCAAAAGGCAAAAGGCCATTCTATGAAGTCATGAAAGCCCAAGAAGAGCAATATGATGAGACCTATGAGTAGGTCATTATCTGGGGGAAAAAGGCACTGCTGAAATATACTTTCAACCTAGGTATGCCAGCCTCCAGGTGGGACCTGGAGATCCCCTGGAATTACAGCTCTTCTTCAGGCTACAGAGACAGGCTTACCAAGTACGTATCGTGATTTGGCGGGGGACACATAAGTCCCCCCAGGACCATTCCCGCGCGGACAACAGACGCGCGGCACCATGCCGTCACCAGGAAGTGACGCCGGGCGACGCTCTGGCAATGGGGCTGGAAACTCGATGGCACCAGCGTCACTTCCTGGCGACCGCATGGTGCGTTACAGGAAGGAATGCTCCGGCCGGGGAGCAAGTGCCGGATCGCGGTAAGTACTTGGGAACCCTATACAGAGATCAGTTCCCCTGGAGAAAATGGATGCTTTGAAAGGTGGACTCTATGACACTGCACCCCACTGAGGTCCTTGTCCTCTGCAGGCTCCACCCCCAAATCTCCAGGAGTTTCCCAGCCTGGAGCTGGCAACCCTACCTTCCCATCCATCACCAGTGGCCAGTAGGGACCCGGCAACCCAATGTGCCTCATGTCTCTCACAAGCAGCAATGCCAAAGAGTGATTAACACTTCACCCAAAGAGTGATTAACACATGGAATTCACTGCCACAGGAAGTGGTGGCGGCTACAAGCATGGACGGCTTCAAGAGGGAATTAGATAAGCATATGGAGCAGAGGTCCATCAGTGGCTATTAGCCACAAGGTATAGATAGGGACTCTGGGGCAAGTGATGCTCTGTCTTCTTGGTGCTTGGGGGGGGGGTCAACAGTGGGAGGGCTTCTAGTGTCCTGGCCCCACTGGTGGACCTCCTGATGGCACCTGGTATTTCTGGCCACTGTGTGATACAGAGTGTTGGACTGGATGGGCCTTTGGCCTGATCCAACATCGGCGTCTCTTATGTTCTTATGTTAATGCAAGACAGAAGACAGTCAAGCTGACCAAGTGCCGGGGCTCCTTGGGAGGACTATGCGTTTCCGCCAGACCATGTGCATGCGCCGAAGTGTTCCGTGGGATCGAGCCCTATAAACGTGCTTTGGCATCATGTACACACGGTACCAATTTCAGATCTTCCTCGAGCGGGATTTAGTTTTGGATAACCATCAGGCTGTAAGACTAGGCCAGCAACAGCATTCATTTCGGGGACTGTTTGTCTGTTTGTTTGTTACATGCAGTCCCGGGCAACCAAGAGGACGTGAACTTCTGCACGCCGCACACTGCCGCACTGTAGGGACGCCTGCGAGGCTGACGGAGGGGACGCGCTTTTGTACAGGAAGGGAGTGGCCCATTAGAAAAGAGCCCTGCTGAAACCCAGCGTGCCAGAACCCAGCTGGATCGCTACATCTGCTCTCTGAACTCGGTGCATCCCCCCCACCCCACCCCCCGGAATTAGCTTTGCGAACAAACGTCAAAACAAATGCATCATTTGGGCACACACTTAGAAATGGAGAATTAACACTAGGCGTACCAAGTCCACCCAGGGGGGCGGGGACCCCCCCCGCCCCAGAGGCCCGTTCCCTGGTGGCGCCGGATCGGGCCCCGGGGGGAACTCCTCTCCGACGTGCGCGTCTGTCAGACTCCCACAGCATCAACGAAGTACACACTTTGCAAGAAAGGTTTTACTTTATTTGAAGCTATAGGTGCATAGACAGGATCACTGTTCAGAATGAGGGGTAAGCATGGAGCACAATGGATTATAGTATGCCGGGGGCGGGGCCACGGTCATCCAAGGGAAGACTCTATGGTTTTCCCTTGTATGGCTGTGGCCCTGCCCCCAGCGTGCCTGGCGTTGTCACGTCACTTCCGGGTGACGTGCATGCGGCGCGCGCACACCAGACGCTGGCCGGGAGCCCCCCACTCCCAGCGAAGATCGACTTGGCAACCCTAATCTGGACTCATCTACCAGCCTCTTCCAGTAGTGGCTCCCACTTAAGGTCGCCAGACCCACACCAGGGGCACTCCCACCCTGAGGCCCCTCCCCTGGTGCCAATCAGCCGGCTGGCCAGAGACTGACTGGCAGCAAAAGGAGGCCTGGCCTGTGTCACCTGCAACACGGCAATGCCATTTCTGGCATGCACCGGAAGTGACGTCAACATGTTGCTGCTGACACAGGGACACTCTGGTATTTGGGTAAAAACTCTATGGTAAGATTTCCACTGTCAAGTTTCTGCCCAAATACCAGAGCATCCCTGTGTTGCCATTGATGTGATGATGTCACTTCCAGGGCATGCTGGAAGTGATGTCACCAGCAATCCCAGCCTAGGTTCCTCTTTGCTCCTAGTAAGTGCCCCCGCCCCCTATTGGTTGGCCCCCCTGCCAACCTGGCAATCCTACTCCCACTGCAGAGACTTCAGTGGGGTATAATGACATACAGTCCACTTTCCAGTTTGGTGTAGTGGTTAAGTGCGCGGACTCTAATCTGGGAGAACCGGGTTTGATTCCCCACTCCTCCACTTGCACCTGGCTGGATGGCCTCGAGCAAGCCATAATTCTGATAAGAGCTGTCCTTGAAAAAGAGCAGTTTCTGTCAAGAGCTCTGTCAGCCCCACCTACCTTACAGGGTGTCTGTTGTGGGGAGGGGAAGGGAAAGGAGTTTGTAAGCCGCTCTGAGACACCTTTGGGTAGTGAAGGGCGGGGTATAAATCCAATCTCCTCCTCCTCCTCCTCCTTCTCAAAGAGGCCAGTTTCTCCAGGTGAACTGCTCTCTGTCACCTGCAGATCAGCTGTAACCCCAGGAGACATCCAGCCACCACCTGGAGGTTGGCAACCCTAAATGATATTCATGACCATGGATGGCTTTTAAACAGGGTTAGACACATTCATGGAGAAGAGGTCATCGATGGCTACTAGCCATCTCGACTAAAGGGAACCTCCCTATTCAGAGATGGTAAATCTCTAAGGGCCAAAGGAGACCGTAAGTGTGACACAAGTTAGACTGGCAGTGTTCCCTCTAAGCTGAGTTAGTGTGAGCTAGCTCACAGGTTTTTAGCCTCCGGCTCTCACATTTTTGCCTTCGCTCAGGAAGGAGGGCTCCAGAGCAAACTAATCTATGCAGGAGCCAAATCGCTCGCTCACACCTTTAATGCCAGTAGCTCCTGAAGTAGAATTTTTGCTCACAAGGCTCCACAGCTTAGAGTGAGCATTGATTGAGGGTCTCCTGAAATGACTCACAGTCATATGTAACATCAAGAAACAAATGTTCCCAAATGCTTTGAGGCCCAGTTTGGCTCAGGAGCTCACTGCAGTGGGAGGAGGGGTTTCAGCCTTTACTTTCTAGACTGGAGGGGGGCTGTTTGCCGTGCTGTGGGGCTCCCTATGTACTGACTGCAGTACTTGACTTCCGTCACGCACTGCCTAAGCCAGCCCTCAATACTAGAGCTACAAGATAACATCAGGGGAAGTTCTTGGCCTCTCTGTCCCATTTGTTGGCCCTGCAGGGTAGCTGGTTGGCCAACCTGTGAGACAGGATGTTGGACTAGATGGACCGCCCGTCTGATCCCAAAGGCCTCTTCATGTTGTCAACATAACCCGGTGGGGCTTCAAGAGTGAAGCATTTTGAGAGCTTTAATATTTCACTATGTCTAGGAAAGAACAGCAGCAGCCAGTCCAGACAGCCAAATGGCCTGTGGTTGGCGGATAGTTCAGGGAGTCATCCTGAGTACAGAATGTAAAGCAAGCAGCGGGAGGGCTGGAGGGTTAACAAAGGCACTTACTTCTGTCCTGAGCTCGGATGGTGTAGCTGCTGTTCAGAAATGGCTCCTCCTGGCTGGCAAACCAGTCCACAGCACTCCTCACCTGGGAATGAGAAAGAGGAAGAGATGTGCAAATCATAGAATCATAGAGTTGGAAGGGGCCTCCAGGGTCATCTAGTCCAACCCCCTGCACAAGGCAGGAAATTCACAACTACCTCTCCCCACACACACACACCCCAAATACACCCAGTGTCCCCTGCTCTATGCCCAGAGGATGGCAAAAAAAGCCTCCAGGATCCCTGGCCAAATTGGCTGGGAGAGAATTGCTTTCTGACCCTAAAGTGTTGATCGGCATTTCCCTGGGTGTGTAAGAAAGGGCCAGGAGTACTAAGCACTGGGGCAACGTATTCTCTTTCTGAGGTCGGTTCAGTTAAACACACAATAAGCCCCATGCTTGTCAGGTCATGGAGGTGTACCCAGACTCACAGTCAGGCATAAATTAGGACAGCTAGCCTGAAACAGTGCTTGTTCATTCCAGGCCCGTAGCCAGGATTTTGTGGCTTTGTGGGGCTGAAGTTCTCAGTGCAGAAGGAACAACCATTTAGCTATTACCAGGATCGATCCCAAAATTACAAGCTGTCAGCCACTTCAGATGACAGCTCTCAGCTGCTGCAAGTTAATCACTTCTGCCAGCCTAAGCAACAATTCTGAGAAGGAGCCGGCAGGTGGGGGATGATGATGAGTTCTATAGTCAGGAAAGCTAACACTTAGGCAGAAAAACTCTCTTAAAGGAGACCAGTTTCTAGAAGGGATCCTAGAGGTCACCTACTCCAATCGGTTCCCCCCCCCCATCTCACTTTTGCCAGTGGAAATGGCAATAGCGGGGGGGGGGCTTTTCACTCTTTTTCTCTGGCTCTGTGTGCCCAAGGAAGGACGTGTCGAGCCAGATACAGGGGCGAACCCCCCCTTCACTGTTTCCACTGGCGAAAGTGGGGCAGGAGGGAAACTGGAAGCTCCTTCTCCCACCTCGTGGCACCAAGTGAAGGAGCACTGTTTGAAGAGAGTTCCCCCAGTGCGTGTCTGACTGTGAGTCCGGTCACTCACCCGTGGCCCGACATGTAGCGTGCATATTGTGTATTTGGGCCCGAAGTCTAAAGTCAGCACTGCAATCTGACGGTGTTAAGATAATCACTGAATGGGCCCCTCCGTGTGGGTGTCAAGTGCCATCAATTGGCTTCTGACTTATGGAGACCCAATGAATTGACAACCTCCAAGACATCCTCTCGTTAACAGCCTGGCTCAGGTCTTGCAAACTGAAGGTCCTTGGGTCTTCCTTGACGGAGTCGGTCCTCTTCTGGGTCTTCCTCTTTTCCTGCCGCCTTCAGCTTTCCCTAGCATTATAGTCCTCTCCGGTGACCAAATACAATAGTCTCAGGCAATGTTCCCTCTAAGCTGTGGATTCTTGTGAGCAAAAATTCTACATTGTGAGCCACTGGCATTAAAGTTGTGAGCAAGTGATTTGGCTGCTGCATAAATTAGTTTGCTTGAAGCCATCCTTCCTGAGCCAAGACAAAAATGTGTGAGCCGGGGGCTAAAGAACTGTGAGCTAGCTCACACTAACTCAGCTTAGAGGGAACAGTGGTCTCAGGTTAGTCATTTTAGTTTCTAAGGAGAGTTTAGGCTTGATTTGATCTCGAACCCACCGATTCGTCTTTTTTTGGCCGTCCACAGTGTGCATAAAAACTCTCCTGTAACACCACATTTCAGATTCTTCATTGTCCAACTTCCACACCCATACATAGTAATGAGGAATGCTATGGCATGAATTAACTTGAAATTGGTCGCCAGTGACACCTCCTCACACTTAAGAATCTTTTCTAGCTCCTTCATGGCTGCCCTTCCCAATCTCAATCTCCTTGCGATTTCTTGGGTGCAATCTCCCTTCTGGTTGATGATGGAGCCAAGGGATAGAAAATCTTGAACAATTTCAATTTCTTCATCGTCAATCTTGAAGTTGTATAGTTCCCCAGTAGTCATTAATTTTGTCTTCTAGATGTTCAGTTGTAATCCTGCTTTGGCGCTTTCTGCTTTAACCTGGATGTTCTGCTCTGGTTAGACCTCACCTAGAGTATTGTGTTCAGTTTTGGGCACCACAAGTTAAGAAGGATATAGACTACTTGGATCGTGTCCAGTGGGGGGCAATGAAGATGGTGAGGGGTCTGGAGACCAAGTCCTATGAGGAAAGGTTGAAGGAGCTGGGTATGTTTAGCTTGGAGAGGAGACGACGGAGAGGTGATATAACTATCTTCAAGTACTTGAAGGGCTGTCATATAGAGGATGGTGTGGAGTTGTTTTCTGAAGAGTTTTTGGTTTCCTTGGCCCTCTGGTTTGGTTAGATGGCCCTCTGACAGCAATGCTGATTCTGTGAACTTATTGTATGCCTCCCATAAGCTTTTGTTCAGCTTGCCCAATATACCATGCTTAAATTTGACAATATTGTATGCCTCCCATAAGCTTTTGTTCCGCTTATATACCATGCTTAAATATGACCATTGAGGATATGATTTCCGAGAAGCTAAAGTTAATACTGTCAGTGTACATAATGATGAACGAAGAATAGAAGACGCAATTGTTGTTGTGGTCCCATTCAGAGGAAGTCCTCACGAAACAAAAGGATATTCTGGAGAACTTCGTCTTGTCTAATACATGGTAATACTATTTCTATCTGATGTATAGCGTCTATTTACAGCTTCTTGGTGTTTTTGTGATTCTGTGAACTTAGGCAGATGATGAGAGGGAGGGCAGGAAGGGTTGCCTCAGTGCTTAGTTCTTGTGGCCCTTTCTTACACACCCAGGGAAATGCTGATCACCACTTTGAGGTCAGGAAGCAATTTTTCTCTAGGCCAGTTTGGCCAGGGATCTGGAGGTTTTTTACCATCTTTTGGGCACGGAGCAGGGGTCACTGGGGATGTGTGGGGGGAGGTAGTTGTGTATTTCCTGCATTGTGCAGGGGTTGGGCTAGATGACCCAAGAGGTCCCTTCCAACTCTATGATACTATGAACCTTCATTGGTAGTCAGTTCAACTCATTGCTCTTTTCTGCCAGTCATGTAGTGTCATCTGCACGCCTCAAATTGTTAATGTTCCTTCTGCCAATTTTCGCTCTGCGGACATCTAAATCTAATCCATCTTTCCTTAAAATACATTCTGCATATAGATTGAACAGACGGGAGATAAAATACAGCCTTGTCTGACACCTTCATGCCGTCACGTAATTCCACGACAGCACCGTGAAAGCTAGGAAATTGGTACCAGGTAACAGAATTCAACATCCAAAGATTCTCAGACTGCTTTTTTGTAATGAAAGTTTCTAGTTCATAACTTTGCCGGCTTGCAAATTGTAAGGCAATGCCTGGAGAAACCTCAGAAGTTGGGATTAGTGGCACGTCGAGCAGGATTTCTAATGGCCGGAGGCAAAGCTTCAAAAGCCCTCTTCATAATGATTGAGAACAGAAGACATTTTGCAAAGTAAACATATTCATATTGAGATCCTTAATTTGGATACTTGATTCCAGTTGCAGAATCCAGGTCTTCTGGAACACTTGGCTTGCTGAGTTCTTCCTGTACACTACTACGACATCTCTCAAAAATATCCTCAAAGAGGGCCAACTTTCAGAAGAAAACTGATTTATGGAAAATTAAAACAAATGTGTTCACTTTGCGCAGTGTCAGCCCCATGCAATAATGTCCCTTCTGCACGGCTTGGGGAAGCAAAATTGGATAATCGTAGGTCCCACGGTAAAAACCTGTAAAGTTACCTGAAGTTTTGGAGACAGGGTATGGCTGTTGCCATTTTCTAACCTATCCAAGGAGAGAAAAAAACAGTTGTCAGGAGTCTATTTCAGACCTTAAACAACTATTCAGACTTTTAGTGGTCATACAGACTCAGGGCAGCAATCACACAAAACCAAGGGTTACATTAACCAGGGATAGGCTGGTTATCCACGATTCATCTCACGGATGACCAATCAAATCCTTGTTTGCCTCAGTAATACTGTGGTCACACACACTATATTAATCCACTTTCAATGCCCTTTCCAACTGGATTTTCCCAGCTTACACAGTAAAATGAACCACCCTGAGCCTTTGAGAGGACGGTATAGAAATCCAACAAATAAATAAAATAAAAATCCAGTTGAAAAGTACACTGAAAGTAGGTTGAAAGTGGATTATTTAGTGTGTGTGACTGCAGCCTTTGTGTTGGTTTCATTGCCTTCCTTGTGTGGCCTAGGAGGGCAACAGAAGTCAGGATGAAATCAGGATGTCTGCATTCAGACATCACACAAAAACACAGGTAAGACTGCCCGTAGTTAACAAACGAGCTACAGATCCTGGCTTGATGAACTCTGACCAGTTACAGTGTTGGGCCTGCATTCAGAAAGTCACAAAACCAGTTACTTTATTTAAACCATGATTTCCTATGGTGTCTGAATGGCTCTTATAGTAAGCACATACATGTATTAGAGAAATATGTTCTGAAGCGGAAGAGTGATCATAAATAACAGGACTGAAAGAGGCTAGAGGAATGGGCAAACTCAGCTCCCCATTACAGAATGCCCACCTGGTTCTTCCGCCTGTGGGGAACCTCATCTCCCCATTATAGAATGCCTATTAGGTTCTTCAATCTATAAAGTTGGACTTTCCTGGACCAAGCGAAGGAAGTGGATTATCCCGGCCACATGTGCCAGAAAACGTGGGGGAGAGGCGTGGCTATTTGCGCCGTTGCATTCTGATCCACCATTATGCGATCAGATGCGACGGCAGCGCACCGGGGTTTTGCCCTTCGGCGAGCTACAAAGAGAACGGCTGGAGGGAATAGGCGTGTGCCAGCGTGATCACACCGAACGAGTGCAGCCCGTGGCAAACCATTTGCTAGTAGATCTTTGCAGGTACTTTTTAACTGCACATCTTCGGCGGCATGCCCCGGGTTGGCCACGGGTGTGCTACGCTTGCCAGATGTTGCGGTGTGATCGCGCCCCGAAAAGCCGCCCAGCATTCTTGCCTTTCGCGCGGCAGATTCTCCGTGTGACCGGGGCCTGCCCAAGGCACATAACGCAGCAGAGCCAAACTGGTTTGTGTGTGCCGACAAGGAACAAAGTTGCACACAGATCCTCTTTATCTTTGCAAACTAATATGAATCCTTTATTGTAAGGAACTCCGTTCTAGACAGGATAGAGATGGGATAGGATTCTAATCTAGTCTAAAATGTTAGGATGGATGGAGATGCAGGAAGCATGTCCTGCTCTCATGGTGCCAAGGTGGGAGAAGTACAGCAGTGTGGAGAGAAGGTGTCAGGCTGGAAGGAAGATTCCCTGAGAATAGCCATCTACACATCAAAGGGATAGCATCAGAGCAGTAGGAGGGAAGGATGATTAGGGTCCTGGCCTATCCATCTTTCTGACTCTGTTATAAACTCCCTCTGAAGTCCAAGGTCCAGAGACAGTGCAAAGTCCTTCATTTCCAAAACAAACTACTAAGGGCATGACAACATACAGGGAGCGGAGGAGGTTCCGGCTTTCTAACCAACTCATCTTCCTCAGGCTTGTGAAGATAACAACTGTGGTTGTAAATTGCACTAAGGTTGCCAAGTTGGGAACATATGGCACACATGACATGGGCAGATAAATTGGGTGGAGAGAAGGTGGCAGGCTGGAAGGAAGGAAGATTCCCTGAGAATAGCCATCTACACATCAAAGGGATAGCATCAGAGCAGTAGGAGGGAAGGATGATTAGGGTCCTGGCCTATCCATCTTTCTGACTCTGTTATAAACTCCCTCTGAAGTCCAAGGTCCAGAGACAGTGCAAAGTCCTTCATTTCCAAAACAAACTACTAAGGGCATGACAACATACAGGGAGCGGAGGAGGTTCCGGCTTTCTAACCAACTCATCTTCCTCAGGCTTGTGAAGATAACAACTGTGGTTGTAAATTGCACTAAGGTTGCCAAGTTGGGAACATATGGCACACATGACATGGGCAGATAAATTGGCAAGATGACTCGATTCCAAAGGAGTCACGGGGGCTCGCTACAGTGAAGCGGAATCCTTGGCAACCTTGCCCTGCTTAGCTGCCAAGGGCCACACCAGTTTTGAAAACGGGTTCCTGCACAGAAGTCACTTGCATGGAAGAAAACACAAAACCCCCCCCCCCCCCGAGTCTTTGTATGCTAGACATTTCAAGAATACAGGCAGTATCCATATAGAACGTAATTTCTGGAAAGACGGGCAGGTGGTATTTTTATATTTGCAGTCGGAGGACAAGAGGAGCACAATTACATATAGGAATGTAATAGAACTTGGGAGTGAGGGCCAGATGATGACTGAGTGCCGTGTGTGGTGACTAAGGGGCCAAGGGAGTGAGGGTTACTGGAGAGGGAAACACATGATAGGCGTCTATAAGCCAATGATAAAATCTCTGAGCCAAGAGGGAGAGGTGGAGTGCTTGGTGCTCAATGACAATTTAGGTATCGTTGGTATCTTAGAAACACGGTGGAATGCGGAAGATCTACAGGATGCAGTCATTCCTGGGTATAAGTTCTATAGCCAGGACAGGGAGGGATGGTTTGGAGGAGGTGTTGGATTGTACATCAAAGAGAGCACAGAATCAGATAAGTTAGAAAATGTCAGGGGAATTAACTCCCCGACAGAAGCAATATGGGTAGAAATACTGGGCCCTCACGGTTACTGAAGCTCAAATACTTTGGCCACCCAATGAGAAGGGAGCACTCACTGGAATCCCAGAGCCAGGAGGCAACATCAGGGGAAGGTCTTGGCCTCTGTGCCTTCTTGCTGGCTGTCCAAAGGAACTGGTTGGCCACTGTGTGAGACAGAATGCTGAACTAGATGGACCACTGGTCTGGTCCAGCAGGACTCTTCTTACGTCCTTAAGAAAACACTTTACTGCTAATCACTGCAGTCCCAATTTCTAACTAAAAGTTTCAGGAACGAGGAAATCTAAGGTTCTTTCATATGTGTACATCGCTGTGTAACTAGAAGGCATTAAGATCCACCATACAAAAGCCACAATCTTTGCCTGACCTTCCTGCTCATATCGAAAACCTCCTCCTCCTCCATTCATAAACAATCTGAGATAGGGCAGAAGAATCTGAGATAGGGCAAAGGACTCACACTCGGTTCCTTCGATGATCCTGCAGCTGCTCCCTCAGGATGGGACCCAAACGAGTGTCCCGGGCCGCACATTCTGAAAGGTTCTGGAAGAGAAAGGCCAAACATGATCACTTTGCTCTGATATATATTTAAGGCAGGAGTCCCCCAGCATTTTTGAGCCTGCGGGCGCATTCAGAATTCTGATTTGGGGTGGTGGGCAGAACCACAAAATGGCTGCCACAGATGCCAAAGACAACCACAAAATGGCTGCTGTGGGAGGTGGAGCCAAAGACACATACTCATACACAAAGGAAGTCCAAGAACATGGGAGAAAAGTACTAATTTTAAAAAATGCACTAGGAAAGAGAAGTGAGAAATAGAATAAAACTAACATGGTGGTAGCCACTGCCAGTGAAATGTTTCTTAAAACCTGCATAGGTGATCAGCTCTTCAATGGCCAATCAGATGCCCCTCTGGGCAAAAGCCCCACCTGACCCCACCCACTTCCTAAAAACAATTGGTGGGCACCTAGAAAGGTGTGGTGGGCGTCAGCTTGCCCACAGGCACCACACTGAGCAACCCTGCTTTAAGGGATGACGTAAGCTGCCTCAGGAGAGGTAGAATGGTCCAGAGTAAATATCTTTAATTAATTCAACATTTATCTCCAGTTTCAGTTACAAAGGCCACCTTTGGGTTGGAGGGCAACTGAGTTCATCGAAGAGGTGTCTTTAGGTAAAGGTAAAGGTTCCCTTGCTCGAAAGCCAGTCAAATCCGACTCTAGGGTTGCGGTGCTCATCTCCGTTTCAAAGCCGAAGAGCCAGCGCTGTCTGAAGACATTTCCGTGGTCATGTGGCCGGCATGACTAAACACCAAGGCGCACAGAACGCTGTTACAATAGACTGTCCTTACAACAGACTGAATGGGAAGCTGTCTGACTCCACTTTTTCCTCATCCTCATAGCAGTCAGAGAACAGAAAACATGAAAAGTCTCCCAAAATATGTCGCTGTTGACTTGATTTGTGCAAATGAACTATCCTTACCCAGACAAAAGATATCATTGCTTCCTTCAATATGTGAACAACTTTTCCACTGGCACCATGGAGTCTCCTATGTACCTTTGCTCTCTCTTACATAGGCAAAGAAGAGTCCGGGTTTTTACTATTGTTGTAAGCAATTTATCTAGGCTTTAATTACTGCATAATGACCCTTATCAAACCTTCCTTCAACAGTTGACACAGGCACCATTATTCTTTCGTTACTTTACCCAATGAATAATTAAATGGTAAAGTTGATTTTTTTAGACTGGTACTTGGAGGAGAGGTCCATTGGTGGCTACTGCCCATGGTGAGTGAAAGACCACTCCATATTCAGAGGCAGTAAATCTCTGGATGCCTGTGCTAGCCTCAGCCTCTATGCCCTGTTGTTGGATCTCCAGTTTGGTGTAGTGGTTAGGAGCGTGGGCTCTAATCTGGGAGAAGTGGGTTTGATTCCCCACTCCTCCACATGGAGCTGCTGGCATGACCTTGGGTCAGTCACAAGTTCCCTCAGAGCTGTTTTCTCATGAGCAGTTCTCTCAGAGCTCTCTCGGCCTCACCTACTTCACAGGGTGTCTGTTGTGGGGAAGGGAAGGGAAAGGAGACTGTAAGCCGCTCTGAGTCTCCGAGTGAAGGGCGGGGTATAAGTCCAGTCTCTTCTTCTTCCTCTTCTTCCTGGGCTCTGTATTTCTTGGCCCTCTAGGGCAACTTGTTGGGCTTTGGGTGAAACAGACCACGGACTAGACACACCACTGATCTCGTCCAGCAGGGCTTTTCCTCTGTCCATTCCCTTCATAATTTGTCTTTCGACTCCAGTGAAACTCTCCTCTTCTCCTCAGCCTCTTCTCCTCTGTCCTCCTCCCTCTACAGCTCCCAGCTCTGCCCTTTTTCTTTCTTTCTTCATCAACATTCTGGGATCTCCATGGTAACTAACTGTTTTCAGCAACCAGTAACTTACTCAGGTTCCACCTCCTTCCTTAGAAAAACAGAACCCTTTCCAGATAGTTCCAGGTGGTTCCAGATAGGGCTGCAAGCACCGCACCGCCCCCCCCGCTACAGTGGGGGGGGGCCTCACACTGGCAGCCTGCTTTGCCAGCCACCACTGAGCGGTGGCGGGAGAAAACAAAGTGACACTGGCTGTAGTGCTGGTCACTTCCAGGGGAAACCCAAAAGTGACAAAGGGTACCTGTAGCAATCACCAGAAACTGAAGGGCAACTATGGCCCCCGTCAGACAAGCCGGAAAACACGGGGGAGGGAGCGTGACTATTTGCGCTGTCGCATTCTGATGCGCCATTATGCGATCAGACGCGACGGTGGCTTCCCCACGCCAAAGAGAACGACGGGGGAGAAAGCCGCGCGCCAGCGCAATCACACCCAGGGAGTCCACACACAGCCCGTGGCAAACCATTTGCCAGTAGGTTGTCCCAGGTACTTTATAAATGTGCATCTTCAGCGGGACGCTACAGGCTCACCACGGGTGCGCTACGCCTCCCAGATGTTCCGGTGTGATTGTGCCTTCAGCGCAGCAAATGCTCCGTGTGAACGGGGCCTAAAATGATTAATGGGATGGAACACCTTCCCTATGAAGAATGGCTAAAGAGGTTAGGGCTCTTTATCTTGGAGAAATGATGATTGAGGAGTGACATGACAGAGGTCTAGGAAGTTATGCTTTGGACGGAGAAGATAGAGAAAGAAGTACTTTTCTCCCTTTCTCACAATTCAAGAATTCGTGGGCATTCAATGAAATTAATGAGCAGTAGGCTTAGAACAGGAGCTGCGGTGGCTCAAGTGGTTAAGACGCTGAACTGCAGGCTATGGAAGGTCGGTAGTTCAGCAGTTCGAGACCTGAGTTGCCGCATGACAGAGTGAGCTCCCATCTCTAGTTCCAGCTCCTGCCAACCTAGCAGTTCAAAAGCAAGAAATTGCAAGTAGATAAATAGGTACCACTTCGGTGGGAAGGTAACAGCATTCCATGCACCTTGGTGTTTAGTCATGCCGGCCACATGACCACGGAAACGTCTTCGGACAGCGCTGGCTCTTCGGCTTTGAAACAGAGATGAGCACCACAACACTAGAGTCGGATTTGACTGGTTTTCGAGCAAGGGAACCTTTACCTTTACTTTTTAGGCTTAGAACAGATAAAAGGAAGTACTTCTTCTCCCAAAGAGTAATCAACATGTGGAATTCCCTGCCGCAGGAAGTGGTGGCGGCTGCAAGCATAGAGAGCTTCAAGAGGAGATTGGATAAACATACAGAGCAGAGGTCCGTCAGTGGCTCTTAGCCACAAGGT